TGTTCTTTCCTGAAAGACAGGCTTTAGGCTGCAATGAAAAAGAAACACCCCAGTAAGAGATTTAATGCATTTTAAGTCATCCCCTGTATTTGGGTTGGTGATCACACTCTCAGTCCATGATCATATACAACTTGGACATTTAAAAATACTTGTAAGTGTGCTAATGATTTTACAACTTAATTGTTATTCTTTTGTGGGTTCTGATTTTCGTATATTTCTATTCTATAGATAAATGCAATATATATTCTCATTCTGCTCGCACAGACCTCTTTCCCACCTTTCAGGCAAGGTTTCCTGTTAAAATTTTGATGAGTGTTTTAACTATTTTAGGAGTACAGTGCACCTTTTCCCATTGGCTTGTTTTCAGGTAAGTTGCACATAGTTACACCTCTGATGCCTATTCAAGTAGACCTGATAGGATCTGGATAAGATTACCTCCAAATTTTCAACTCCATGTTTTGTGGAAATTTAAAGTTTTCCCTGAGAATCCTATGAATTCCCTAGAGCTTACATCTGCTTTGTCTTTTTCCTAACTCTTTGTCCAGTTGTCCAGAGTCATCCCTGGTTAACCTATGCTTAATTCCAGTATTTTTTATTTATATCACACATCTATATTGTATTTAGTTATATGTTTATGTAACTACTTGGTTAATATTCATTGTGAGCCCCATGAGAAGCATAGGAAGTGCTCTCCATGCCAAGTGCTCTCAATTCTTGGCACTTAGTAGACTCTAAAGAGAGGATCAAAATTTAAGGAAGGAATAATTGAAGAGGACTTGTGACTTGAGATCAGAGCACAAAAGGAGAACTCAGCCTTGAAAAGAAAGGGGTGGGGGTGGAAGGGAGAGGGAGAGATCATCCTTGAAAATGAATAGGAAGAGAAAAAATGGATGGAAAAGCATGTCAAGATAGAAGTGGAGAGGTTTACCAGATGGTCTCATTTCAGTTTTCCCAGTGTAGTAGAAAGTGTGTGGATTGGAGTTATATAAAATTGGATTAGTACCCTAAATCTTCTCTTTTAACAGGAGTATTAGACAAGTTACATAATGTTGCTCACTATAGTTTTCACATTTATAAATTAATTATTATGGTTGATATTTAATAAGACAATGAAAGCAGTATTGGGTAGTATTTATAACATGGAACTGAAAATAGACATATCTAGACAAAATCTTGCTTCTGCTACTTACTAGCTAAGTGATCTTCTGGAAGTTTCTTAAAGTCTTCAATCCTGAGAAATAATATAAAGAAAAATGAGGAATCAAATTTATTAACTGAAGAATTTACAAGATATGTTAAAAGAGATGAGAGTATAGAAGATAATAGCATAGATTAGTTTGTTTATATCTATGAGCCAGGATTCAAATGCAGGTTAACTGCTCTCAGGAGTCACACTTAGTTTCTTAATCCTTAAACTACACTGCTTCCTAAAATACAGCAATCTAGTAGAAGACAATGAAGTTAGAACTCCTACTTTTTTGAAAAATATTTTTCTGTCAGCAAAGTGCTAGGGAGGTAAGTGTATATTGGGTAGAACCTAGGAAAAAGGGGAAATAATATTCTGTGTTCAATACAGTAGGATCTTGATTAATGCCATGAAAACACACTAAAAGAATGTTTTAGCACTTCCTATACCAATTCATAATGATAATTTTTAAAAATGAGCTTTGTTTTATAAAGCACTTATTGAGATAGGATTGACATGAAAAAAGCTGGACATAGTAATGTATACAAGTAGATGATTTGGGGGATACTTGTACCTTCTGAAACCATCACCACTACTCATGCCTAAAACATATCCATCACCTCTCAAAGTTTCCCCCCACATCATCATCATCATCATCATCATCATCATCATCATCATCATCATCGTCATCGTGGTCAGAACACTTAAGACCTATCCTCTTGGAAAATTTTAAGTATATAATACAGTATCGCTAGCTAGAAGTACTAAGCTGTACATATCTCTGCTCTTCCCTATCCTAAAATTATTCAGCTGTTCCAGTCCTCTCAATGTTATGGGTGAGAAGAGTTGAAAGTGGGCTTTTGGGGCAGCATCCCGCAAGTCTGGGGAAGAGGAGTGCTCCCTTTGCCCTCACTTTCTACCATGGGGAAATGACTGGCCACCACAGTCTCTTTTGACCTTGGAAGAGGGATGATTGTTTTTATCCTTGTCAGTGCTTCTATTCGTCTATTTTTTTTTTTTTTTTTGCTCCACTGGTGTGCTGGAACCTCTCAGCTATACTCCCAGGCTTTCATAAAGGAATTCTCATTCATAAGTCATTATGAAAATCGGTTTCTGTAGGGGTATGGGGTATGGATATTCTTATTTCATCATCTTACTGAAGTCTTAAAGAGATAGTTATTAATTTCAGCAGGTCTCAAACACCCAGTGGTATTTCATAGGACATTCAAGTTACTTTTAAGAAATATACCTTTGTATTGATTTGATGACTAGGTTAGTGAAAACTGTTAATGAATGTGAATTGGAGGAGAGTAGTCAAAGAGGAATCAGGAGGCATGTTTGAGGGTATCAGACATCAGAGCAGGCCACGGTTTCAGTGCAGAAGAGCCTGAAAAATCTAAGAACTCTTAAATGTCATGCAAGTGAGAACCCAAAGGCTAGAGAATTTGAGGAATGACCCCATAGAGCAGGAAATTGTATGACTTAATCCTAGAACAGAGGCTGTTTCCTGACATAAAATCACGTCCTGAAATTACTAGTTTCTTCTTGCAATTCTTATAGGTGAACAGATTTGAAATTTAATTAACTTTTTGAATGATTACAATGCTGGAGACATGTTAACTGTTCCTGTCACTTCTGATTGCATTCGAGCAATCAAAGAACAATTCTGTTGCCTGCAGTGTCTCTTCTCAGTGATGATATCATAGTGGAGACATTTTCAAAAAAGGCTTTAATTGGTTTAATTATTGTTATGAACCGTTAGAGTGGAATGTGTATACTAAGTTATTGAGCCAAAGGAAGGTATGGTAAAAATGACAAGTGAAATAAGGAGGTAGATTTAAATGTAAATGAATCCTTGACTGATGGCTAAGTCCATGGTTGGATTATTGTCTCATCCAAAAGATTATGCATTGGATGGCAAAAATATTAAATTTGGCATTTGTAAACTTTATTTCCTTTTTGAAACTAAACTGAGTTTAGTTTGAATATAAACTGTTTATATTTTATATTCTATAATATGTGAAATACACAGTGCTATTTTCCCCCTCATTGCTTTAAAATGATTTCTGTTTTTGTAATAATTTTCTCCTCCTAGCCTGTTCCTAGAGTTAAAGGTTTTAAATTTTATCCTGACTACTTTTGATCCCAGATATTTATGTAATATAGTGCAATGATCAATTTACGATTTTATACACACACATACACAATATACATAGAGCTCTCTCTACATGTGTGTATATTTAAAATTTAATTATATGATTATATACTTTAAATATCAATGATGTTCATTGTATATGTATAGATTTATACTTGCACATACATTTAAAATCTTCATTGTCAACTATATACTAGGATTTAAAGATTATTATATGCATCCATTTTTTGTTAGGATTATTCAGAGCGCTTTTATTTGATTCTAACTCTTTCTCTAATTGCCACATTATGCCTAAAATTCGGAAAAGCTTCCTCTGTATTTTAATAAAGAAACCCTAGACCCTCACACCTTTCATCTTTTTTTCAGAGGCTATAGATTATCTTGACTTCTTTTTCTTGGAGACTTATATCTCATGGAATCCTTAAAAATATCATGCAATTTTCAATAGTAGGAATAGCTGGAAGTTATAATAGATCAACAGAAAGATGGAGTCTTACTTTTTCAATAAATAATTATTATTCACAATTCTTTTCGATATGTGAGTGTTTAAGTTAATTAGAGTATATGATTTATAGTAAGGCATGACAAAATGAATATTGAATTAGATATTATTAGATCTGGATACGTGTCTGAACTTTAACATTATTTTCTCAGTGACTTTGGGTGAAACAATCTTAGTCACTAATTATCAATTTTACAATATCTTTGCTGCCCACCTCTTTTTTTTAATTTTAAATTTTTAAAATTTTTATTTTTTTAATTAAATTATCTGTGTACATATACCATCGTCCCCCCACTCCCTCCATACAAGCCCTCCCTCCCCAGAGTTTTGTGTCCATTGGTTGTACTTATATGCATGCATACAAGTCCTTCGGTTGATCTTCCCCAGATCTCCCTACCCTCTCCGCTGTAATTTGACAGTCTGCTTGTTGCTTTACTGTCTCTATATCTATCTTTTCGTTTGTCAGTTTATAATGTTCTTTATTATCTATAAATGAGTGAGGTCATGTGGTGCTTCTCTTTCATTGATTGGCTTATTTCACTCAGCATGATATTCTCCAATTCCATCCAGGTTGCTGCAAATGATGAAAATTCTTTCTTTTTTATGGCAGCATAATATTCTATTGTGTAGATGTACCATAGTTTTTTGATCCAATCATCTGCTGATGTGCTGCCCACCTCTTTATAGTGCTGTCAGGATTTGATTATATATATGAAAATATAATGTAAACAATAAAGTTCTATCTAAAGATGAGTATTGTAAATAACAATGTGCCATGCACTGTATTAAGCACTCATATAGTTCTTACAACAGTTTTATGAGACGCACACTGTTAATATTAAAAATTTACAGATCAGGAAGATGAGGCTCAGAGTACCTAAGGCCCCTGAATTAGCTCACACTGTATTTGAGCGGGAAAGGCAAGATTTGAATACACATCTGTCTGATTTTAGAACCAATGCTCATAATTGTACAGTAATTGTCACTCCCCTGAATAATAATTGCCACATAGAATTATGCATAAACTGAGTGAGATAAGTAGAAATCAATTTTCTTTATGATCACATCTGAATTCTAAAGATGAAACCAAAATGATATTTTTCTTAAAAAATAGGATGCTATGAAGTTCTAACCCTCCAAATGTGTTTTGCCTTTAGAATTTAATTGTCTTGGACCCACTGACAGTGACCGAGGAGGAAATAAGACCATCACTGGAGCAACGCCTTGAAGCCATCATCAGCGGGGCTGCTCTGCTGGCCGACTCTTCCTGCACCAGGGATTTCCATCGGGAGCGGATCATCGCGGAGTGCAACGCCATTCGCCAGGCTCTGCAGGACCTGCTCTCCGAGTATATGAACAACGTGAGTAACGGTTTCCCCCATCCTGTGCATTGGGTTTGTGCCGACTTCCTGTGTGGAACATGTGATAAGTGATAAATAAGTGATAAGCGATAAATAAATGAGACTGGCTTGCTGAGTGGGTTCTGCTCCGGTTGCTCACAGGGTGGAGCAGTGAGATTGGATTTTCTGGGGATGGATTCTAACCAGAAGGTTGTTTACGATTGATTGCATTGTTTGAAATGGTATCTAGATGTGTTAGTTGAAGAAGGGATTCAGGATTGGAGAAGGAAAAGAGGAGCTGCGCATTGATTTAAAGGATAAAAAGGTTAAGAAAAGGACCATATTCTCAGACTGAAGTTGGTGAATATCCAAGTCAGACTTTAGATAGTGTTGGACGAAGTCATTGCTGTGGGGATCAGGGACCGTTTTTTGAGGACGCGAAAGAGCTCATTTAGTTCGGGTGGCTCATAACCCTTTTCAAATGTGACATAATGCTATAGAGTTTTGGCAGATTTAACTATCTTTTAGGAATATTAGGAATGCTGTCTAAATTTAGACAAATGCACAAATGTTTCAGGTCCTTTTGCTTTCAGATTTTATATATTCTTATATTATGTATTCATTCCATATATATATCTATATATATCCATCTGTGGAATCTTACATTCAAATCTTAATGCCATTTTTTAAAATGAAGGAGGTCTTCATTGTCAGCTCTATATTGACCATGAAGCATTTTTAAATAGAAGAGCTCAACAAAATGAAAGATTTATAATTGGGACATTTTGTTGATCTGCCCTATTATAAATGGAATAAAAGTTATTACTTTCAAAACATCACTTTTTGGATATGAAAATGAAGAATTGAGGTTGTTCAGTATAAGTAATTTATGCAAATAATATGTGCTAAAATTAGTGAGTTTTAAGGATTTTTCAACATGTTTGATATAGCTCCTTGTTCTTAATATTTGATGACTTTGGCTCCTGACCAACAGTCTCTTGCTGGTCAAGAAATCAGAGACATAAAGTACATTTTGTTAAGAAGAACATGTTAACAGCGTCATGTCCTGCTCCTTAAGCTAGAATAACCCCGTTTTTAACATATAATCTTAAAGGTTTTTTTTAAGGGAATGCATCCATTGTAAGAAACTCAGAAGGTTATATTGTATTGGAATTTATTTTCGGATGGCTACATAACTGTAGAGCCCAGTGCAAAACTGAAAACGCAAATCCTGTTGTTCAAAAGCGAGTTTGGGGTAGGAGGGTGGGAGTACCTTTTTCGTTTATTCAGTCTCAGTTGACCTAAGAAAGTTATTTTTATTTAGTGTTAAGTTCTTTAGAGCATAGGGATACTTGTGGGGGCATGCAGACCCCCTAGTGTGTACTTGACCCATAACCCTAACCCACCCTGACTGTGCCAAGGAGCCTACCAGGAGTGCGTGGTGGCAGCAATCACCAGGTAGGAGAATAGTCTGAGGACCTCTGCCTGCATGTGAGTCTAGGGCACATACTTCATTGCCCCATAGGACTCCCCTTAATACACAACTTCGAAGGTAAAGTTGTTAAGAATATGAACACTGTGGTAGCAGAACATTAAAAACCAAAGGATTTGTATGCATGCATGTAAGCATAACCAGTGGACAAAAACAATGTGGGGGGATTAGGGCTTGTACTGGGGGACAAGAGCGAACTGGGAGAGGTCAATGGGGGAAAAAGGAGACATATATAATACTTTCAACAATAAAGAATTAAGAAAATTAAAAAAAGCCAACGTAGGCCGTTTTGAGCAGAAAAAGGCTCTGTGCAGAGTCTCAGGCCCCTGAAGCTGGGTCTGTACATAATAAACATATGTCACATAAAAATAGTTGTGGTGTTATGGTTTCTTCCACTTTGGCTTAAAAACTTTTTGGGTTGAAAACTATTCACACCAAAGGTGAAGTTATGGGAGCATTCTCCTACGGTGCCATCAAGAAGGGACACTGTTTCTAGAAATTTATAAAACTAACTAAAAGTCAGTCTGCTTCGTGTTATCACCATGCACCACCAATTCTAAATGCCACTGATAAAATGTTTTCCACATAATTCTTCTAAATTCTAAGCAATTGGCTATAGTTGCTGTTTTAATAATGTGTATGTAATTCAAATTAGCACATTTTAATGACTATCCTTTAATAAACAGTATAGTCTTTTCGCACTGAAAAAGCAGATTCAAATTTGACAGGGATGCCACAATGATTACAAAGACAAAGAACTGGAGTTGCTTCAATTCTGTTATTTTATGTGATCACAGAGGTGTTTTTTTTTTTTAAATTATAATCATGGAACTGAATTGTGAGGGGTAATATTTTTGTTAGGTTAAGTATAGATTTCAATTGTCAAATATTTCATTGAGTTTTAGTTATAACTTTGAAATGAATTCTCCTTTTGAAGATTGTCTATCACTTTGAAGTTAAAGAACAAATTAGGAAAATAATGATTATGTGAGATTATTACTGAAATGTGATTTTTGTTATGTAGAGGAGAGAGGTGTTTAAAAAGGATGTATTACTGGTATCAAATATGCTAAGTAAGGCACTGAAAACAGGTTTGCACTTTTCTGTGTCTCTTGCTCTTTCACTTACTGAGGATTTAATCTCATGTTCAGTTTCAAGGAGTCAAGTACACAACACTTATGTTACCAATATCTTTCTGTTTGGCGTGTTCATTTTAAAACAAGGTAAGTTCTGTGTTAGAACAGGGAAGCGGGAAGTGACTTTTTTGTTTATAATAAATAATTCAGATGAAAGGTAAGTAGCTTTTTTTTTTTTTTAAAGCTTGTCCAGATAATTATCTCATTTTTATCATTTTAAGGGTAAACTTAATTGTAGGAACCCAAATATTTCATGGTTATTTAATTGATTAGATTGTACTACTATCACTATTTATACTTGATGGAGGTTGTTTTTTTCTTTCTTCCTCTTTCCCCCATGCTTTCTCTTTTCCCCTCTGGCAAAGGAGGGCAGACACCCCCAGCAATGTCTCCCTCATGGCATTTCCCCCTTTCAAGCTCTTAGCCCAGATGGAATTCCTCTGCTTGTCTGCCTCCTCCACTAGCCAGGAGCCCTAGGAGAGTGGGGACCGTGCTCCTGGCGCTCAGCATAGAGCCTTGCAGGTAGCAGGTGCTCAGTAATTATTTTTTGGATGCAGATAAAGTGAATTTAGTGCTTGCTGCTTCTCGGTCTTTTAAATTAAAATGACAACGTGCCTGAAGCAATTAATTTGAAGTTTATTTATGGTATTTCTATGGTAAGCGTGGAGAAAATGTTGAGGGAGGATTCATGGTGAGAACAGGAACAGAGGAAAGGAAGAGCAGAGTTGAGGGGATATTCTGTTCCTAAGAATATTTACATATGCCTTTCTCCTAGAGCAAATGTCAAATACTGGTTGAGGAAGTCGTTTTTTTTTCCCTTTGGAAAGAAAAGACATTGATTGCGTGTGTGGTTCTGTCTGATGATTTGCCTTGATGTTAGTGTGGAAGTCAGAGTGGGAGGAGCTAAGTTGCTGGCGGCCCCAGGGTCAGATGCCCATTCAGTCACACATCATGGAAACATTTCATTGATGAGTGCAACCTATTCCTAACAAAAAATAGAAACTTATAGTACTATGAAAAAATACTCCAAAAGCAATGTAATAGGTTCCTTTCATGGAAAAGTGCAGAATTTTATGCCTGATACTAGTGTCTGACTGAGCCAATGAATATTAGTATTAAAAGCAGGAACCAATCTGGAAAACTGAGGGATACATTATCAGAACATATTCCCAGGTTTATTTTTACTCTAGGTTTATATTACCAATGATGTTCCTCTATAGCTGTTGCATCATCTTTAATGAAGGAAACAAACTCTCCTGGGAATACCTCAACTCAAATCTTTCTCGGTTCCCTCAAAGATTTTAGGACAGCTCCTATACTTAAGTCCTCAGCTTCCTAATTTAAGGAATATTGTTTCTCTTTTGTTGGACCTGGTTTGCTTTTTTAATTAGCAGCTTTTGTAATTGAGCTGTATCGATAGAGTAGCTACTTGATGATAATTCAGCTACCATAAAGATAATCATAAACACTTAAAGCAGAAATAATACTCATCAAAATCTGTAGATCTCTTATGTGAATGTGGTTTCAAGGCTTCATATTTTGCAAATCTAAGGAGCCTAGAGATGTAGGAAATAAATGCAATTTTTTATGTTTTTTTCATACTCAATTCACATGACAAGTTTGAATGTAACTTTACCTCCTTAAACGGATCAGTAAATCAGTAAATCTCAATCATTTTTTCACTGAAACTACTATTCAATAAGTTCACTGTTTTGTCACATTGGTAAGAAATTAGTAGGAAATGAGACCAGATGGGAGAATAACAAAACAGACGGCCACTTAACAGTATTAATGATTATATATGTTTACCCTACTATTTTTCTTCTTTTAAATTTGTGTATATTCTATATAATAAAAGCCTTGTATGCAAATAGACGGAACTGTGGAAGGACTAGCAAAATGACTGGTCGCTATAATGCACACTGACCACTAGGGGGCAGACACTCAATGCAGGAACTGCCTCCAGCCTGCAGGCCCCAGGCCAGCCAAGGCAGGTGCCAATGGGGACCTCTGATCACCCCAATGGTTGCCTCACAGATTGGCCCTGATTGCTGGCCAGGCTTAGGGACCCTGCCCATGCACGGATTTTGTGCACTGGGCCTCCAGTATATTATATGTGTCATAGAGAATATATATAAAATTTGGTTTTCTATTGCTACTTTAAAAAATTCCCACAAACTTGGTGGCTTAAATAACACAGATTACTATTCACATCTCTGTTGGTTAAAGTTTGACACACGTCTCCCTGGGTTAAAAACGGCAGTGTCAGCAGGGTGGCATCCTTTCCTGGCGGCTCTAGGGGAGCAATCCGTTCCCTTGCCTTTTCCAGCTCTAGCTTCCAAAGGCCACCTGCATTCCCTGGCTCATGGCCCTCTGCCTGCACCCAGCGCCAG